CTTCAACAAAAACATTTGTTGATATTTTTTTGTGAGGTCTAGAAAAATCTCTTTTGTTGTAGTAAACTTTAATTAAATTAGACATTTTGAACTGATTTCTCTGGCATTTATAGTGATGATGAGCTTGGGTGATAAACAGAGTCCGACTGAAGCAGAAAAATAAGTCACAGGACTGAGGTGGTCTGGCAGGTTTTATGCATCTATCTGTACAAATAAGTAAGAGTAGAAAATTTTCTCAGATGAGCAGATAGAACAAGTAGTTCAATCTGGAAAAACTCACACAGAGAGAAAAGACAATTAGAAGAAATTTATTGAAACAATTATCTAGTCTTTGGCGTTCAAAATGAGCACCTTGATATGTGCTTTAGAATGGCTTTGTCTCCATTCAAACCCAGGTTTAAAGCCTTGCAGGGCAACATAAAGCCCACTGCTCTCATTAAGACAGAAAAAAGAAAAAAACGGTCAGTTTAGGTGTTTTATAAAATATGTGAATCAGGAAATTGTTGTTCTCTACTTCAAAAAACACTTTAGATTTTAAAAGGGAAAAACTTTATATAAAAAAAATAATAATAATTTTAAAAATTCAATGTATAACATGGATGCATAAATACCTAATTTTATTTCAGTGTTCAATTCTGTTTAAAGTAACAGATCATTAAAAATGTCTCCAGACCTTTACTGGTTGATGATTTTCTCTATTCGGATCCCACTGATTTTTAATTGGTTACCCCTGATATAGGGAATTAAAATAAATGTTTTATATATATATTCTTTAATTATGACACCCTTAAATTGTGTGATAATGTGAGAAAAAAGGAAGAAAAACAGGTAAATATTTGTAAAGGAGGTCATTTGCAAACTGTCTATAGAGTGCTTAAAAAGGACTCTGAGGGAGGGCTGAGAATAAAGTTGTTCTGCAGAGATTTGCTGCCATCTGCTGACAAAACCTGTTCAGATTCAACAGGACGTTCCTTCACCAACAAGCATTTCCATCAGAAAACATTTATTCCTTTCTTTTTGCTTGTTTTCACTAAGTTTTATCTAAGATAATTAAACAATCTTTAAACATCAGCAACTTGTTTGTAAAATTCATGTCTGTCTCCAACCAGGAATCAATCCATCCTTCCATCCATCCATTCATGCGTCCATCCATCCGTCCATCCATCCATCCGTCCGTCCATCCAGCCATTCATCCGTCCATCCATCCATCCATCCGTCCATCCATCCATCCATCCATGCTTTCAGGTAATGTTTAGAAATAAACGATCAGTACGATTCTGCCATTTGGAGTAAAACCAATAATCATGTATAAATGTGTAAGGGCCTCAAGTTACGAAATCTATGATATTTATAAAATCAAACTTATGAAATCAGGAGCTCCAGTGACATGTTTACTCTTGACTGTGTGCAACAATAACCTCCAAATGTCTTGATAGATTCAAACAAGCTTGTGTGGAAAACAAAGAACATTCATATTGACATAAACATTAACTTTGTCTCTTTTGTCTGGAGCACTAAAAAAAACTGTTATCCACAGTGAAATTACTCAATATGGATAGAAAAGCAAAACATTGTACTAAGATAAAAGTTGTAATATTTAATTAAGTTATTAATAAAGTAAAACTACTCAAGGACACACCTTTTAATCCCCGATCCGTTTTTTTTCCCATATCACTCTGCCTGCGTAGAGAGGCTCCAACTAAAGGCAGGGTGGGCAGATCTGTGCAGACTTATTTTTTTTACTTCTGTTTCTGTGCCACACAAATTACAAAGATCTCCCAAATTTGACTTGGACAGATTATGAAAGGTCATGAAAGAAAACACTGGTTCATTCTATAGGCTAAAGCAAAGCGAATCTGTGCATCATCTCAAACCAGATCAGATAGAGAATGTTCATATGCCTATATCAACAACATAATAAGATCTACATCTAAAGAAAAGAGAACGTCAGCAATAAACACTGTGGGATGGTTTATATTCTGACTGAGGCAGAGAGGTAATTCTCAGAAAGACATCTAAGAAGTATGTCAAAGTTTTTC